CCCTCGTTTCGGCATCGCCTCTGAGGGGCTTCCAAGAGTCCCTGTTGAACCTCAATTCTTGAATAACTATCATTGTTTGATAGCGTAGATTATGTGGAGGAGGGAGAGAAGAAGGAGGACGGATGACTTCCATGGGGCTCCAAGGATGAAGGGTCGAAGGGTTGACTTCAGGGATCCCTTGAGAGGGTGTGGAGAGCAGGTGGAGGATGCGAGCACGGGAGCGGCAGCGCCTGGGGGCGTGAACTTTCAGGGTCACGCGCCGAGGCCGCAGGATGGTGGCGCAACAGTTCGAACGAGGAGTAAGAACCACCTCGTCCTCGGAGGTACTGCTACTACAGCTACTCCTCCTTCCTCCCCCTCCTCCTCCTCCTCCCCCTCCTCAATCCTCCTCATCCTCCTCCTCCTCCTTCTCCTCTCCCTCTTCCTCTCCCTCATCTTCCCCCCCCCATCCTCGCCCTCTTCCTCCTCCTCCGAGATGCGGGGCGCGCGCGAGGCGATTGCGATGGCGATGCGGAGATGCGCCTTCCGAGCTGTGGATGTCGAAGCTCCTCGGAAGAGGTGGTGGCGACACTTTCGGGGGATGGAAATCTGGGCGAGGGAATGTCGGGCCCCGCGTGCCAGAACACATCCCTCATGGTGGGGCGCGGTCTCCAGAAGGATGCGCGTGGCGCGTGGAGGCGTGGCGCACGGTGGTAAAATCATCGCTGTCGTTGCTGTGAAGTTTTCATTCATGAGGGCCATGTGTTTTTGACCCCCCTGCGAGGTAACCGTTTGTATTTTTCAAGCGAAGTGCATTTCCCAGGGCTCGCCCTTTTTTACCGGGGAAACGAGGTGCCACTAAATTGCGCCCCTGGCCCCCGGTTTACAACCAGAACGGCGCCCGCCTGATAATTTCTCACAACGTATTCCCAAATCGCGCTCTCGCGCGGGACTTCCCCACAGTTCGTGCCGGAATCGCACTCTCGCGTGGCACTTCTTCCTAATTTATTTGGACGCCGCGCCCTCGACGCTCGGGAATCGCGCCGTCGCTATGGATGCATTACGATTTACGTGGGAATCACGCTATCGCTCGACTTCCTTGCGATTCGTGCAGGACGCGCCCTTCCGCAACCCAGCTGCTCGACCTGGCCGCCTGGGCGTGCCTTCCCGACCTGCCTGCTAGGGTCTACCCGCCCGATCTAACACTCAGGAATCACGCTCTCGCTGTGGATTTCCTCACAATTTGTCCGTCGGGGGTTCGCCCCCTGCCGCTGGCCCCCTCGCTGTCATAATGGCATACACCAGAGTCGCGTCGGTGCGTCTCGACGCTGCCTTGGCGCATCTGGGAACATCATGCGGGGGCGGATAGGAATCGCCAGCGCATATTGAAACGTTGGTTGTATCGAAGACGCCTACGGCGAATCACCGCCGCCCCCTGCCTTTTTGGAAACGCCTATGTGGCCGAACGTTGAGGCCAGACCTGCCAAGCTATCGGACCACGTGTTCCCCGAATCGGTTTGGAAAGCCTTCGGGGAACACGTGGGCATCTTGAAGGTCATCTTGGCCGTCTTGGAGGCCTCTTGGGCAAGCTTTGGGCGATCTTTGGGGCTTTTTGGGCCGTCTCGGGCCAGCTTCGAGCCAACTTCGGCCATCTTGGTGGGTTCCTGGCACGTCTGAAGCCGTCGGAAGCCGTTTGGGGGGCCTCTATGGGCCGACTTGGGGCCCGCTTGGAATGCTCCAGGGCCGTCTTGGAGGCCATCTTGGGCGTTTGGAGGCCATCTTGGGCGTGTTGGAGGCCTCTTGGGCCCTCTTGGGGCCCTCTAGGGGCCATCTTGGAGGCCACTTGGGCCATCATGGGGCTCTCTTGGGGGCCTCTTGGGCGATCTTGGGGGCTTCTTGGGCCGTCTTGAGCCGTCGGAGAGCCGAAAAGGCGCAAATGCCCAAATCCTTCAAAAACCCAGGGAAAATCAATGATTTTGGCCTCTTCGGACTCTCCTGGAGGACCTCTTGGAGGCCTCTTGGGCCGTCTGGGAGGCCTCTGGGGGGCCTCTTGGGCCGTCTTGGGCCGTCTTGGACTCTCTTGGCCCGTTTTGGAGGCCGTCTTGGACCATCTCGGGCGGACTTGGAGGCCATCTTGGGCCATCTTCGCGATTTTTTGAGGGTGTCCCGAGCGAAACGGCCGTTTTTGGGCATTGACAAGCGCATTTTGGGAAATGCGCGGGTGGCCGGCGGGACGGGCCGAAGCCCACTGGGGAGTTCTTTTAGAAAAAGAACCAAAACCAAAACCTGAATCATCCAGCACGCCGTGCACCCCTGCACTGCAAGCAGGGGGCGGCGGATCCAAGTGGCATTCGGCCCATTCCGCCACCGTGCTTGAGTTGTGGGTATGAGACTTCTTGGGGTGTCATGGGAACCCCCACCAGGGCCTCTTGGAGGCGGTTTGGGCGCCTTTGGGGGGCCTCTTGGGGGCCTCTTGGGGGCTCGTAGGGTATCATCCTTTGGCCTTTTGGAAGCCTTTTGG